AGCCCCTCTGAAGTCACTGCAGGGGGGTCCCAGCTCTCCAATACACCCTGGAAGGGGGGGGAAATCCTGTCCCATCCGAGGGTGTCCTGCCCACCCTCATGGCCCCTCAGCCCCTGGGGAGGGGTCCCAGTCCCTCAGGTGACAGTGCTGGGGGGGTCAGGGAGGGTCCTGCTGCCCTCAGCCCCTGGGGAGGGGTCCCAGTCCCTGGGGAGGGGTCCCAGTCCCTCAGCTGACAGCGCTGGGGGCTCCATCCCCTCAGGCGCCATCAGTCCCTGAGGAGGGGTCCCAGTCCCTGAGGAGGGGTCCCAGTCCCTGAGGAGGGGTCCCAGCCCCTCAGGGGACGGTGCAGGGGGGGTCCTGCTGCCCTCAGCCCTTGAGGAGGGGTCCCAGTCCTTGAGGAGGGGTCCCTGTCCCCTCAGGCGCCCTCAGCCCCTCACGGCGGGAGGGGGGCGTGGCCTCAGCCCCTCACGGCGGGGCTCTCGCGCCGCCCGCACGTGCGCTCCTCGCGCTGCGCATGAGCGCGGCCCCCCCGGCCCCGCCCACCGCGCTCCCCGAGCCCTCCCATTGGCCGCCCTTTTCCCGCCCGCCCCGCGTGACCGCGGCGTCGCCATGGCAACCGGCCAATGGGGGGGCAGCGCGCGAGTGACGAGCGGGTGGGCGGGGCTTCGGCGGCGGCGGCGGCGCGCGCGCTTTTTTTCGGCCGCTGCTTCGGCCCCTGGCGGGCGCCGGAGCCGCCGCCATGAGCGGGGCCGGGGCCGGGGCAGACCGGCCGTCCCCGGCCAAGCTCCGCCGTCTGGATGAGCCCGGCGGGACGGGCCCTGCCGCCGCCGTTACCCGCGGGGAGGCGGCGCGTTCCCCCAGCCCCGCCGGAGGTCGCGGTGAGGGCCGCAGCGCGCGCGCGCGGGGCGGCGGGGCCGGGCATGCGCGGGGCGGCGGCGGCGGCGCGCGCGCTCCCCCTGGCGGCTGCCCGGAGATTAGCGCGGGTTCGGCCCGGGAGGGCGCGGAGACCCCCGGGGAGGGCACGGGGGGACCGGAGAGCACCGGAGAGGAACCGGCCAGCCTGGAGACCACCGAGGAGACCCACGGGAGACCGGAGAGCGTCAACAGGTGCAAAGGGAGCCCGGAGAGCGCAAGTAGCGACTGCTCGGAGCCCAAGAAAGGGGGTTTGGAGACCACCGGAGAGGTCGCAGAGGGGATGGAGAGCACCGGCGAGGCCGTGGCGGAGCTGGGAATGGCTGCCACGCACTCCTTGGAGCAGAACGAGCGTGTCCTGAAGACTCCCACGGAACCCGAGGGAAGCCCGGAGAGCACCAGCAAAGCCACGGGTGACCTGGAGAGCAGCAGGGAAGGCGCAGGGAGCCTTGGGAGCGGCAGTGGGCGCAAAGGGAGCCTGGAGACGGCCGTCACCCGCTGCTTGGAGCAAGGCAGAAGGAGCAAGGCGGGCCCGGAGACCACCACCAAGGTCCTGGCGAGCGCGGAGAGCGACGCTTCTCTTGGTGGGGAGCTGAAAAGCACCAGCAGGCGCAAGGCCAAGACCCCCGCGAGGCCCAGGCTGAGCGCAGAGACCGCCGGTCACCAGGGCTCGGAGTGGGAGAGGAGCGGGAACGGGGATCTGGACACCACCAGGGAGGCCTCGGCTGGCTTGGAGGCCACCAGAGAAGACGCAGAGAGCCTGGAGACCACCATCGCCGGCCCCGTGAAGCGGGACAGAGAGCAGAGAGGCGGCGTGGAGTTCACCACGGAGCACGAGGAGGGCCCGGAGCCCACAGCCTGCGTGGGGCAGAGCCGAGGCGGCCCCGGGCTCCCGGATCTCGTGGGGATCCCGGAGCCCGCGGGGGTCCCGGTGCCCAAGGAGCACGTGGCCGAGGAGAGCGCGGTGATCTCCCTGGATGAAGACGAGGAGGAGGAGGAGGAGGAGGAGGAGCGGGACGAAGGGCCCGCGCGGTACCTGGCGGCGCTGGAGGCCGTGCAGCTGGAGCTGGAGGCCGTGGAGGAAGAGGCTGCTCGAGCCTTTCGCCGCCTCCGCGCCCGCTTCTGCCTCCGCCGCCGGCCCCACCTGCAGCGGCGCAACCGCCTCATCCAGCACATCCCCGGCTTCTGGGTCACCGCCGTATCCTTGGGGAGCCACTTGGTTGTTTTTTGGGGTGAGGGGGGCACATGGGAAATTCCGGATCCATCTTTCCTTGACGCCGCCCGCGCCCAGTTCCTGAACCACCCGCAGCTCTCGGCCATGATCAGCGACCGCGACGAGGACGCGCTGAGCTACATGACGAGTTTGCAGGTGCCCGGAAGGTTTTGGGGGGAAAAGGTTTGGGGTTGTGTGGCCCCCCATGAGGTAACACACCTTGGGCCCACAGGTGGAGGAGTTCGGCCAGAGCCGCCCCGGGTGCCGCATCCGCTTCTTCTTCAGCGTCAACCCCTATTTCCAGAACGACGTCGTGGCCAAGGAGTTCGTGCGCGGCCCCTCCGGTGGGTCTGGGGGCAGGGTGGGGGGCACCCCCCAACTTCCTACAGCCCAAGGAGGGGTTTGGGGGGCGGGGGGGGGCTCCAGAGTGACCCCCCTGGTGTGTGGTCGCTCCTCCCAGGTCACCTGGTGTCCCACTCGACCCCCATCCGGTGGTGGCAGGGCCAGGACCCCCGGACTCGCCCTCACAAGGGCCCCCCAGCCCCCCGCAGCTTCTTCGCGTGGTTTGGGGACCACAGCTTCCCTGCGGGCGACCGTGTGGCCGAGGTGAGCCCGGCGCTCCCAGTTCCGCCTCCCAGTGCTCCCAGTTACCCCCCCCCACCCCCGACCTCCCCATCTCCCTTCCCTCCAGATCATCAAGGAGGAGCTTTGGCCCAACCCGCTCCAGTTCTACCTGCTGGGGGAAGGCGCCGAGGGACCCCCCGACAGGTGAGCTGCANGGAACCCCAAACCTTCCCACCCCCACCATGAACGCCCCCTCCCCAGCGAGAGCGGCGAGGACTGCGTGGTGATCCTGGATGACGACGAGGACGTGCAGGAGATCCCAGACGATGGGGATGGTGAGTGACCGACTCCCCCCTCCACCCTGGGGGCGACCCCAAAATTGGGGGGGACCCCAAAACTCCTCACCTGAGGAAATGGGGGGAGGGGACGACTGAGAACCCCCCCCCCAAATTCCTCTTGGGAGTCGGGGGCTGATTTTGTGCCCCCCAATTCCCGCTCTGCAGGCAGTGGCGTGGAAGAGATCCCCACAGAGGAGCCCCCCAACCCCCCCGTGGGACAGAAAGACCCCAGCAGGGGCAGAATTTAATTTTGGGGGGGGGGATTTGGGGGTGCTGCACATCTCCACCCCTCCGGCGTTGCGGGTAATGAGGGGCTGGGGCCCCCAACACAGCTCAGGGTGCTCAAAGGCCTTTCACCCCCCTGCCCCCCAAACCTTTCATGACTCCCCCCCCCAACTCTGGGGACCCCCAATCTCCCCAGCTCCATCCCCTGGCGGGGTGCGGGGGTCCCCCTAAATCCCTTTTCCCCCCCACCCACCTCACACGAGGGGAGAAACACAACCATTTCCTGACCATTTTTTTGTACATTTTGGGTTAAAAACTTGTAAAATTTTCTTTTTATATCTAAAAATATATTATAATAAAGAGAAAGTTTTAACAGATTCACAGAGACCTCCCTTGAACCCCAGGGGAGCTGGGGAGGATTTCAGAGTTTAAATTAAAATTTTCATATTTTACTCCCCTGGGTTTTTTGGGGGTGGGGCTTCCCTAAAACCCCTCCCAGAGCAAGACCCGCCTTAGACCCCCCCTCGTCCTCCTCCGGTGCCGGTTGTCCCCACAACACGTTGCCTCACTCCCGTTACCGGTGCTCCACGACCCCCCCCCGCAATTCCCGGGATCTCCCGGGACCTGCGGTGCAAGTCTCGCCCTCATCCCCAGGTCCCGGTGCCCCCCCGCCGCCATTTCCGTCCCGTTCCCGGTGCCCCCATCCCGTTCCCGGTGCTCCCCCAGCCATATCCATCCCGTTCCCGGTGCCTCCATCTCCGGTTCCCGGTGCCCCTCCATTTCCATCCCGGTCCCGGTGCCCCCACTCAATTTTCATCCCGTTCCCGGTGCCCCTACCCCATTTCCATCCCAGTCCCGATGCCCCCCACCATTTCCATCCCGTTCCCGGTGACCCCATCCCGTTCTCGGTGCTCCCCCCACCATTTCCATCCCGTTCCCGGTGCCTCCATCCCCCGGTCCCGGTTCCTCCTGCTCCGACCCTCCCGGAGCGGACCCGATCCGCAGCGGCGGGGGAAGCGCCCCGGGCCGGCTCCGCCCCGCCGCCCCCGTCCGCACCGGCACGGCCGGTCCCGGTGCCCCAGATTCGCTCCGTTCCCGTTCCCGGTGTCCCAGCCCCGCTCCCGGTCCTGCTCCCGGTTCCCGCTGTCCCAGCCTCGCTCCGTTCCCGGTCCCGGTCCCGTTCCCGCTGTCCCAGCCTCACTCCGCTCCCGCTCCCCGTCCCGTTCCCGCTGTCCCAGCCCCGCTCCCGGTCCTGGTCCCGCTGTCCCAGCCTCACTCCGGTCCCGGTCCCGTTCCCGCTGTCCCAGCCCCGCTCCCGGTCCCGGTCCCGCTGTCCCAGCCTCACTCCGCTCCCGGTCCCGCTGTCCCAGCCCCGCTCCCCGTCCCGGTCCCGCTGTCCCAGCCTCACTCCGCTCCCGCTCCCGCTCCCGGTCCCGGTCCCGGTCCCGGTCCCGTTGCCTCCGCCCGCCTCATCGCCGCCTGCTCCTCCCCGCCCACCCGCACGGGGGCGCCACAACCGCGCGTCTCCACCAATCAGCGAGCAGATCCTGCTGCTCTCCTCACCTCCACCAATCAGCAAGGGGGGGCGGGCATAATCCGCACAGACCACGCCCCCACCACCGCGCGGGAGGCGTGGCCAACCCAAGCCCCGCCCACCCCGCCTTGGGGGTGGGGGTCGGGGCGAAACCCCCTCCCCAAAATCCCCGAGCGCCCCAAAACCAGGGGCGCCCACAGAGACGGAGCCTGGCTGGACACAGAGGGGCTTTACTGCCCCCCCCCCCAGCACCGCGGGGTCCCTGGGGGGCTCCCAGCGGCTTTGGGACCCCCGGGGTGATTTTTTGGGGGGGGGTCCCAGAGATTTTTGGGTGTTTTTGGGGGTGGGGGTCCCTATGAGGCGGAGTCGGAGGCCTCGGAGCTGTCCTTGACGTCGGTGCTCTCGGTGGTCTCGCTGACCTCGCTGACGTCCTTGCTGTCGCCCCCTCCTCCGTCCTCGTGGTGGTGCGGGGGTCCCGTGGGTGGGGGGGGGTGCGAGGGGGTCCCCCCCGAGCCGCAGACCCCCTCCCCACCCCGGGGGGGCTCGGCGGGGGCCGGGGGGCGGCCCCGCTCCTTCTGCTCCAGCTGCTTCC